CTCAGTATGGAGGTAAAAACCTGGTCGAATTGGTACCCCTGCTCTTTCAGGAGTCTGCCGCATTCTTGAGCTTCCACCACCCCGTTCTCGCTCAGCTTCTGATCAACCCAGCTGCAGAAGCGGTTCTCTTTGTTCCAGGCCCCCTCCCCATGTCGGAGAAGGAAGAGTTTGCATTTGGACATCCTGAAGAAGCAGTACGGAAGCCTGAAAGAGATGCATATGCAGATATATATACTATATAGCAAATATTTCAACTGCTTATATAGCAGCTTTAATTGCTGTTATATAATTGCAAAATGTAAACTACATTATCACCTCTAAGGATATTATAAACATTAACCTCATGATTTTCTGTAAAGCTGCTTTACACACACATGTATGTATGTATATATATATTTATTTATTTATTTATTTAGTCATTTATCAGACGCATTTATCCAAAGCGTAATTATTATTATATTATTATATATTTAATATATATAACCAAACTGGAGAACAGAACTGAAAGGTTAAGGGTCATGAACTAAATGTCAATGCTAATTTAACAAATGCTCTGACCAGCTCTGATCTGACCAACTCTTTATTTATAAACGCAAAAATATAATATCGCTTTCACAGGCTAAAATGTATAAGTATCTAATATTAAAGTGAAACTGAAGTGAAAAGAAGCTATGTGTCAAACTACTGTATTATTGTATGTAGGCATGGGCCGGTATGAGATTATGACGGTATGATAACCTTAGATAAAAATATCACAGTTTCACGGTATCACGGTATTGAAATTACAGCTCTAAAATATGTTATTTTTAAATGTCTGGGTAAAAAAACTACTTTTTTTCCCACTGAACACATTTTATTTTTAAGAAACATATAGAACATTTTGGAACAGTAAACATGTCAGGCTAAATAATTAGAATAAATAATTAAATTCTTCTTAATTAAATGCAGTCACTTAAGTGAGCCTAAACCTGCAGCTCAACAATAATCAGAACATAAATAAATTATTTTCTGTAAAAATATTGAGAAAAAATAAATGTGTTTTTTGCAAAAAAAAATAAAGAATTGAAAAATATAAATGAAACAGCACAAAAGCAATGATTTTGCAATACATATTTTCCATGGCCATATCTACTAATTTATTTGCAACGCAGCTTTTATTTTGCGTGTCAGTCAAGTTTGAGCTTGCGATACCATCTTCCCTTTGCACTTCACGTTTCTGCGCGTCTCGCTTTCTGGCACTGTTTTGACATGGGGGTGGAGTCAAGGGACGGGGGCGTGTACAACAGGCCTGGGCATGCCTCCCTGGAAGTGACGTCATCGGCCCGAGCCGCAGCTCACTGATCCAGGCACCATCGTTATTCTCTAGCATTAAAACATGCATGTTTTCGTTTTATTAACAAATGCATATGTGTATTAGCAGTGTTTGCTCAAGTTAAAGAAGTTGTTAACATGAACATCTGCTGTTTACTTCTCTCAATGTGCACACTTTTATAGCATTAAAATGTGTATTGTTTCATTTGGTTAACTAAATGTGTTTGTTTAAAATCTCTTAACCTGTGGGAGGACTTTGCAAAACTTTATTTTCTTTTGCAAAACTTTATTTTCTTTTGCAAAACTTTATTATTTTGCATATATAAGTGGCATTATATTGACTCCATATGTTAGCATGTCATACCGTGTATGCACAAAATAACCTTATCTATATCGAATAACCATAAATCTAAGTGAAGATTAAATTAGATATGCCCATTGAAAATGACTATGAATCGCTACGTGCTCACCTTCAGATTAAAAACCGCCCATTTCAGAGCAGCAGCAGCTCTGCAACAGGAACTATCACAGGTACAGCAGCATCAACAAATGCGCAACAGTTTGCTTGAGTGACACTTCTTTCAGCCAATCAGCTACGCGACTCTCCACAAGTAGGCGTGTTTAAGTGTACAGTGGAGCGTTATTTTGAGGTTGTTAAAGGGGTCATATGATGCGATTTCAAGTTTTCCTTTCTAGAGAGGACCTACAATAATGTACAGTATTTGAAAAATAATGTGTTTTTTGAACATTAAAGCATGTCAACATATTCTGTTACACCAAATACACAAAATAATGATCTTTAAAAAATCATCATATGACCCCTTTAACGTCAGTTCCATTAATTTTTTACGTTAATGAATTGAGCCGTAGTTCAATTTAATAAAGGAGTAATTTTATACTGGATTACAACCGAATTCATCTTATTTATCAGGTAAGCCCAGTTACTTAATTTAAGTAGTTTTAATAGTTGTTTATCAGACTCTAATCATGTGGGAAAGTGGTATTTGCACCCAAAAAACTCAGAGAGCAATGCCAGCAAGAAAACTTGGAATTACTGGTGAAAACAGTGATAGCTTTATTGTTCCTCAATATTCACACACCTGATCACATATACTATTATTACAATATAAGCATTATTATATAATGACAAATGCAATTATATAGTAATCATATATTAACATAAATAAATGTTATATATGTGTCATAAAGCACATAATGTTTCAATATTTTAACTGATAAATGTGGTTAACAGCACAGCTTTTTGAATTTCTCATACAATTGTTTTTCATTCATACAGCTGTTTATGCAATAAAACAAACAAACAACCACAATTAAATAGCAGCTAAATATGTGTATGTTTAAATAGCTTTCACATTGGATTTTAATTTTTGAAATAACAAATTTTAAATAATTCATTGAGCAGTTGGTCCTGCAAACAGCTTCTTCCTGCCCTCCATGCCAGACATAGCATCCACATTTTTACGCCAGTCGGTCACCTCTTCTTTCTGCGCGAATTACAAGTAAATGCATATTTTGATAAACTTATTACTTGTATTTAACACAATGTCATGTTTTCTTGAGTCAAAGAGAGCATATTAAAGGAATAGTTCACCCAAAAATGAAATATTGCTGAAAATGAACTCAAGATTTCAAGATTTTGTTTCTTCATGGGAACAGATTTGGAGAAATGTAGCATTGCATCACTTGCTCACCAGTGGATCCTCTGCAGTGAATGGGTGCCGTCAGAATGAGAGTCCAAACAACTGATAAAAACATCACAATAATCCACAAGTAATCCACACGACCCCAGTCCATCAAAAAGTGAAAAGCTCTGTGTTTGTAAGAAACAAATCCATCATTGAGGTGTTTCAACTTTAAATTGTCACTTCTGGACAAAATACAAAATATAAGAATATGTTATTTGATTAGAACTGTTTTTGTTTGTAAATGGTGCTTGATCTATGCATATTTCTTCAGACGAGACGACGTTTTCACTGTAGAAAGCAATATTATGGTTAGATAGAGGACTCATATTTTAGCTGGAAGTTAAAAATGTCTTAATGGTGAATTCATTTATTACAAACATGCAGCTTTTTGCTTCACAACAATAATAACAATGTTAACTGATGGACTGGATTATTGTGATGTTTTTATCAGCTGTTTGGACTCTCGTTCTGACGGCACCCATTCACTGTAGAGGATCCAGTGGTGAGCAAGTGATGCAACACTAAATTTCTCCAAATCTGTTCTGATGAAGAAACAATCTCATCTACATCTTAGATGGCCTGAGGGTGAGTACATTTTCAGCAAATTTTCATTTTTTGGTAAACTATTCCTTTAAAAATGTAAAGCAGCACTATGTAACTTTTGGCGCTCTAGCGGTTAATAAACAGAACTGCACACATACCGCGGAAGAACATTCCAACCGGAGCTACGTCTCTAAGTTTATGTCTATGGCGATTCACGCAGGTATGTTTTATGTCTCTGGCGATTCACGCAGGTATGTGTTACTCCGCAGCGGTGACGACCCGACCAGGCTACAATAGTCCAAATATAAGTACTTATTATAAGTGTACCGTAGTGATTCTTAATAAGACAAAAACGCGGTTTGGAAGATGGATTCATGATGTACTCGCTCATTATATACATTTTGCAAATTTTGAACACAGAAAAAGTTAGATAGTGCTGCTTTAATACATTTGTTAATAAATAAAACGATACATTAAGAAAAGAATACATACAAATTTTATTAAAATAAAAGTCATTTAAAATAATTTTATATTAATTATTTCCTATTATTGACTGAATAAACAAACAAACAACAAAACAAAAAAATCTGCAAATATTATTTAATGAATTTAATATTGAAAAATTAAAGCTCTAAATCCATAAAATCTGAGAATGATATTCATGTCAAAGTACTGAGATGTGTTGATTCTTACCTTTTCCTCCTCCTTCTTCACTGTCTTGAGGTTAGCTTTAAAGTCAATGGATTCCTTGTGTTTGGCACCTAGCAGAGCCCCCAGCATGGCCTCAGCAGACACCCTCACTCTCTTCAGGGCAGGTCTCTTCATTTTACCCTTCAGCTCAAAGATTTTGTGGCTTAAATCTGCAATCTATAGCAGAAGCATCAGTCAGGGCGATTAAAATGAATGCATCAATTAATTAATGCATCAATAATGGCATTTTTAAAGCAAAAAAATTTACCTCCTTTTCATTTTTGGCAACTTTAGATTCAATGTCATATCGTTCCTCATCAACCACATCAATTTTTTGATGGAGTTCTTTGCACAGATTCTGTAAACAGAGCAATGGCACGTAAGAAAGAATAGTTTCAAAATAATTCTGACAAAAGGCCAAAGAATAACAACCTGTATGTCCTGTACGGACAGTCCAGACAGTTTGAGAGGAGGAACTCTCTCACTGAGCGTTTGCTCTCTGTCAGTCTTTTTCTGTTCCTTTTCCTCTGCCAGCAGTGTGCTGGCCTTCTTCAGTATTTTGGTCTGCAATGCATTACAATTGCAGAAGACCCATGGCCATGTAATATTCATATGTAGATCATGGTGAGTTGTTCATTAAAATGGTTAATTAAAAAAATGTAATACAAAAAAATAAGTCAAGATCATTTCAGATACACAAAAAAATAGAAACTAACCTTTAAAAATAACCGACGAGATGCAGAGATCTTGGGCTTTTTCTGAAGGAAAGAGCCAATAATGTGACTATCACAAATGCTGCAGTGTTCAATTTGATATGAAAATATAAAATGTACTTGTAAAGTATGTTTCAAATATTATTAAATACAGTGTTTAAATGTAAGTTACTCACCGGTCTGACACAGATAGGGCCAGAAATGAAAACACACATTTAATACATGAATAGATTTATAATTTTTATAATATAATAAATCATTTATTATTTCAATAATATAATATTTATAAATGTTTTGAAAATACTTACACAGATTCAGACATTTTAGTGCCTTTGTTTTTTGTGTTTTTGTTTGTTTGTTTGTTTGTTTGTTTGTTTGTTTTTTCCTGGAGACTTGCAAATGACAAAATATTTCTTAAAAAAATACTAGACTTGTGTTCAAGTGTAGTATTACAAAAACAATATTTAAGTAGACTTTCTAAAAACAGCAAAAGTGCTTAGTGTAGCCATACATGCTTTTACAGTACAGATTTAAATTTAAGATATTTAATGTTTTTAAATTCTTTGGTAATGTCAATAAAATGATGCAAGTTAAGAAGCTACACAAAAATATATAACTAATACGCTAATATCTAATACGCATGAATAGCTAGCAGTTGTTATAACCTGAAGGTCCTTACCTCTCAGATGATGGAAGTATGACTGTTTTGGCCAAAGGGAAGAAACTAAAGCAGATTTATAGATTCTGAAGCACTCGTGAGAGGCTCACTAAAATAGACTACTGTCCACACCATTATCACTGCCAAATGCTTCACATCTCAGGCTGCAGAGTGACGGGGCACCTGGTGCTCAAGTATACTTTATGTTCTCTAGACTAAGGGTGAGTCCAACAATACTCCAGCATTAATGAGACTGTTATGTCATTTGTATGTGCGTTGCCTGACCTAATTTCATCTGAACTGCAATTTTCAGAACTGGAACTGGAAGTTTCATGTACTATTGTTCTTTTTGGGATTGTTTTTTATTGGTTATACAGTTTGTACTGTATATCCTGGGAAAAGTATACAATTGCCACATATCTCATTTCTTTACAAGAAGGTATTAATAATATCATATCCTATTTAAAAGGGACATTAAAAAAATCTGTGAAGACATTATGTTGGAATATTGAATGATATTTTAATATTTTCATAAAACCATAACTAATTCAGATCTAAAATAACAGATCTTTTCACAACCATCATTAAGGGACCTTGAACATAAAGGAATTGTTGACTGACATGCTGAGTGTTTCTTCTTCTTCTTGATATGTTGTTGCAGGCTGACATCTGTAGGGCAAAAGAAGAACTGCAGCTGTAGCAAACATGACAAGATATGAAGAAAACGCTTTTAATTTGAAATACTACATTTTACAAGTGAGTGTTAAAACATTTCATTTAGATTTACTGTTACATCAGATTCTATTTCCAGCATTCAATATAGGTCAGTATGTACCTGGTAAGACTTTACAATAAAGTTTCAATTGTTAATATTAGTTAATGGCATCAGTTAACACGATCTAACAAAGAAAAATTATGCATTTATCAATCTTAGTTAATGTTTATTTCAACACTAATGCATTATTAAAATCAAAAGTTCTAAAGTCAAAAGTAAAATAAGTCAAGAGTGTGTTAATATTATTTAATGGATAATGGAGCTAACATGAACTAACAATGAATAGTTTTATTTTTATTAACTAAAGTTTACAACTGAGATTAATAAATACTTTTACAAATGTATTGCTCATAGTTAGTTAATGCATGAACTAATCCTTACTAATGAGAACTTATTGTAAAGTGTTACCCTGCATTCTGTGAAACTGATCAGTTTGCCTTAACTAAAAGTAAGAAAATACATTACAGTGAAACATTAAAGCTTATTTTACATTTTGAAAATTTACTTTCTGAAATGCAAAAACAGAGATTACATCTTTGACGTCATCTTTGGTTTGGTACTGCTGCCATCTGCAAGACAATTTAAAGAGATTTTGCACAAGACATGATGTTGTTTTTGCTAGTTTCTATCTAACCAACTTATCATATGCTTAGAGGGATGATATGCAATAAAATGTTTAATTAAAATGATAAAACAAAATAAATATATTGAGGTCCTCTATGACTGTTAGTATTTACCGTACTGTCCAGCATCAAACAGCTTCTTCCTGCCCTCCATTCCAGACATGGCCTCTACGTTTTTACACCAGTCAGTCACCTCTTCTTTCTGTGGAAGGTAAATATAGATATATAGATATATATTTGAATATTAGCACTTCTGTCTATTTAAAGTATTTTATATAGTCTTACCTTCTCCTCTTCTTTCTTCACTGTCTTCAGGTTAGCTTTGAAGTCAATGGACTGTGTGTGTCTGGAGCCCAGAAGGACACTTAACATGTGTTCAGCGGACAGTTTGACTCTCTTCAGGTTAGGCCTCTTCAGCTTGCTCTTCATCTCATTGATCTTCTGATTCATTTCCTGTATCTTTATCAGCACAGACCACACATGTTGCACTTTAACACAATCCTTTGACCGAGCTGCCACGCCAACTGTTCCATTCAATGCTCACAGAACACAATAGCTTCATCAATGAGAACTGTTTACCAAATGCTGGTGTTTGCTACTCCGTTTTTCATACCTCCTTGTCATTTTTGGACACCTTAATAGCAATGTCATAACGTTCCTCATCAATCACGTAAATCTTGTGATGCAAATCCCTGCAAGGATGCTACACACAAAGTAGAGTCTTGACAAAATAGTTGAAAATGCATGTGGGAATGATGTTCCAGGATCAACAAGGATGTTGATCCAGGAACATGTTGTACTTGGTCAAATCACGCTCACCCATGTGTTACTAAATTATTTAAAACACGGTAACCAATCAAACGTGCAGCTTGGGCTGCTAAATAAAGAGCTACTGTTTGTGAGATAGGAAAACCTTTGTGTTGGAAATAATATGAGATGGGAGGGAAAACTATATTTGAGTGTTTTTGCGAGCGAACACAGTTTTTCTCTTGGGAACGCAATATTTTTGCATGAAAATATGAATTTTCTCCCATCTCATATTTTTTCCCCATCACTGTCCCCTTAGTTCCGTCCCATTCCAAAGCTTTAGCATTCTGTTGCAAAAGAGCGCAAACACAACGGGCCAATGCTAAATATTTGTGCGCGGATGCAAACGCGTAGAAATATATTCTTTCCTCCCATTTCATTTTTTTTCCCCCATCACTGTGTACCCTACAAAAGTTACGAGGGTGAGTAGGCCTAAATGATTGTCAGAGTTAATGATTCCTTTAAAGATGCTATATGTAAGTTTTTGACCTGCCAGTTTACCCAATTGTATTTTGGCACCCCGGGTTGCCAGTTGACGGAAAACACAGCCATTTAATTTAACTATTTAATTTCATTCATCGTCAAGTGCGCTCGTTCCTGTTGGTGTCATCAATCTGGCAACCTGCGTGTGCATCAAGTCTGAGGAGGAGGGGCCGGGTGAAAAAAACCCTCTCTAATATTTTGAATTTGGACTGCAATACCTAGTTCAACCACTCGGTGTCAATCCTACATACAGCACCTTTAAAACTGCAGCACTGTGTGATTAGTAGCAAATAGGAGTCATTTAGAATGTTTAGATGTGTTATAACACTCCACTTTATCAAACTCCTCTTCATCATAGCTCTATCAGATCCTGCAGCAAAAGAAAACTGCATGATGCATCTGTTACGGTCACTACCAGACCCAAATCTCATCACATTCCTCACTCTACTGGAACACCTGAAGAGGTAAGAGCACACACTCATGTTGAGTTTCCCTGTTTAATGTACATAATGATTTTTATACTGTACAAACTGTATAATCGATCTCCTAACCCTACCCCTATACACAACCCTTACAGAAAGCGTTCAGCATTTTTACATTTTCAAAAAACATAATTTAGTATGATTTATCATTAGAATGTCTTCTTCATGGGAACCAACAAATTCGTCATTATTCTAGTTTTAAGTGTCAAATGATCTTTCAAAAATCAGTCTAGTATGCTGATTTATTGTCAATTGTATGGTACTCAGTTATTATGTTGAAAACAGTTTTTTTCTGCTTTTTTTAATTTATTTTTTATTTTACCGCATTCTTTTGAAAGCATCATGGTCTCCACAGAAATACTAAGCAGTGAAAACTAATTCTTGAAAACAGCTGTTTTCTACATTGAAATGTTTCTTGAGCGCCAAAACATCATATGAGAATGATTTCTGAAGCATCATGTGACACTAAAGACTGAAATAATGGCTGCTGATTAATTCCAGATTCAAATATATTTAAATGAAGGGAAGACAATACCTGAAGCTGAGTAATGTTGTTGACAATGACTCTTTAAAGCCAGCAGCTTCATACGAACATCATTTCAGTCACCATCATAAATGCCCGGGGTTCTGTTTTATTTTAGTTAGTGTGAAACTGCTGTCGCAATTCACACGAATCTCTCTGAAACGTCGGCAATTAGCTAGCAAGGCCTCAGCTTTATAAACACGGTCACAAATAATCTCTCTGGAGGCCATATTGCCAACTCCAACTACTGCCCATTAACACATCACAGACACACACTGCACATGCTGGATTTAGTTAACAGCACTGCTCACTGTGGACACCTGCTGGACAACACTATACATCACACTTGAGCTACAGTACACGTGTCGAGTCATTAGAAACAATGTTCAACTTCATGATTGTTTAATAAGATGCGATTCAGTTTTGTATCGGTGTTTGTTTCCTCTCATTTTAGGGTGGCAGAGAAGGAGCCGGTCAATAAGATGTCTCTGCATAATTTGGCCACAGTGTTTGGCCCCACTCTGCTGAGACCGTCAGAGCCGCAGATCAGTAAGGCCCACACCACACTAGCCTC